AAACTAGACTATTTCCCTGCATTTTAAACAGCAGTGAGTGAAGCGGCGTGCAAGGTGACCTTCTGTTCTTATGCTAAAGCGGTTTAGCACTAAGGGTGAGAATTCAGCGGCGCCCTTTGGTTCTGAACGCTGGCGTTGGACATTAATACGCGGAAAGGCGTGTGACGCGCAAACTGCGGTGTAGCAGCACCCTCTAGCGGACTAATAATTAAACACATGAACAAAACCACGTTTCTTTGTATCGGGAAGCCGTTTGTTCGCCATTATTTTCAAATGAATGCAAAATTCAGAGGGATTTTGTTTGTGGGTGAAGGTGTTGCTGACACTACTGAAATAACTATTCCTGAAATAAACCTAACAATAAACAAAACCTAGATGTTAATATTGATTGATGAATAAGTAGTAAGATTACACACAGTCGGTAAAATTAAATATTAAGAAACGCGGTAATGTTTTCGTAAATATTGCTCATTAGTTGATGTTAATGATAATAACCATCTCAGTAATCTCGTTTTGTGTTAACGTATCGTGGCTGTTTGTTCACTGAACAACACAAAGGATATATTCTGAGCTGAGGTTTCTCGGGTCGGCTGATGGTAATGGTGTCCCAGGAGAACCACTAGCATACTAGCGTAATCTGAAATCGGATTCCGAACAAGTATTGTACCTTAATATCTCTATTGCAGTGTATAATGTTCTGATATTCTGGCAGAATATTTGTAATGAGACCGAAATAGTTGTACAGCTTTGGGGATAGCAATTGAGGTAGCGTATATATATATATATATATATATATAAATATATATATATAATTTATTTAATTGCGAAACAGTTTAAAAACTCTCCTCCCCTTTGCGCATGAGCTGGTGGCGGAATTGTTTGTACCGTCACATGACACTGCCACAATATGAATTTCCGAATGCAAGATTTACTAGGGGTGAATAAAAAATCGGAAGCACTGTATCGCAATGCATTACCACAATACGCTAATTTCAAGGCCCTTATAAAAAACAGCGCCACCCATTGCCTTCTGAATAGCTGCAATCGCCCAATAAATGCAGCCCTGCACCTTGCATAAAAACAAAAACATCCAGTGCTTTAAAGGTTGAGCAATGTGGAAATGTAGTTCCACGCTGTGCGCGCCTGAAAATTCACTTACGTTCGGATCTGGTTAGGCCTATTGAGGGTGCTGTTCTGGTGTTTACGAAACCACTCATGCATTTGTTTAGAGGTGTCGAAGGGAGCATCATGAACGGACTGTTTGCAGGTTTACGTGCACCTGGTTCTGTGAAATGGTCTCATTCCTTGGCCATAATGAGACCATGCAGAGCAAATCAGCAGACCTACTGAGTCCCATGAGATAGCTACCCATACCAGCCGACATTGTGAGTTAAAGGTGTCCTTTGGAATACTGCAAAACAAAAAGCAGTGTACAATAGTGGCCAAAATGTGAAAACACCTAGCATTTTTGAAAATTTACTAAACAAAAACTGGCGGAAATGTTTATAAACAATCAAAGAATGTTACGAATATCATACATTGGACATTTAAATAAGTAACTGGAGCAACAGTTGAATAAATGTCTGCAATCTCTAAAAACTGGGAGCGTTTCCACAATTTTGGCCACTAGTGTAGATATAGGAAAAATGGTGAAAGATGAGGCCTTTTATTTTCAGTTTCAGTGCTTGTTACCCCGCATTTTCCGGAAGGCAGCACTGCCATAAATGCCAGCACTGCGATGAGCATGACTGCCGTGCTGATTCACTTCCGTGGTGATTTGTGAGCCTGAACGTTGCTGATGTTCAGCAGTTCTCCTGCTGTCTGTCTATCCCTGTAGGTGAGTCTCGACTTGCAAGCACTGTCTCTCATTGCCAATGCAGTTTATCTCTATTTGACACATGCAGTCATGGATTTCGGAGACTGTTCCCCTTGACACAATGAATAGTTCTGGAGTTTCTGTGACTGCTGCAGCTGTAATTCAGGTTCTGGCTATTAAGCCTCCTATTAAAATGCTGCCTGTCAGACCCCTTTTATAGCTAATTAGCATCCAATGGCACATGACTCCACTTTAGAGTTACTTTTTTCATTTAGTTGTTTCAAAGTTACTCATTTTCCCCCTGTGTTGTCCTTACCTTGTGCACATGTCTATGTATGTATGCTGTATCAACTGGGTGTTGAATTTATTAACATAACTAAACATAAACCGCTACGAGAATGATTCCTGGTCGTAGAGGAATGTCTTATGAGGAGAGGTTAGCTGAGATGAATCTGTTTAGCCTTGAGCAAAGGAGACTAAGGGGGGACATGATCCAGGTCTATAAGATTCTAACGGGTCTGGATGCTGTTCAGCCAAATGGCTATTTCAATATTAGTCTAAATACTAGAACCCGTGGCCATAAGTGGAACTTAGCGGGATAACATTTTAAAATTAATTTGAGGAAGCACTTCTTTACACAGCGTGTAGTTAGAGTATGGAATAGTCTTCCTGCTAGTGTAGCGGAAGCTAAAACCCTGGGTTCCTTTAAATCAGAGCTAGATAAGATTTTAACAACTCTGAGCTATTAGTTAAGTACTCCCCAAACGAGCTCGATGAGCCGAATGACCTCCTCTCCTTTGTAAATTTCTTATGTTCTTATCTGCTCTTTATGTACATCATTTGTCTTGGCCTGTCTCTGCTTCCTATCATGTGCACTGTCAGAAAAAGGGAACCAGTTCGTAGCTTTGTTGTCACTGGGGCTGTATCCTCAAGGTTAAATCTACATTTTAAGGTACAGAAATGGACTCAGGAACATTTTTGTACCATTAATGGTACATTAATTTTGTTTCTACCTTGGGGATGTTCCTCAGAGTCCATTTCTGTACCTTAAATTAGACTAGAAGATACATTTACCTGCCGTTAATGGTACAGTTGGCAAACTCTTGAGGGTACAGGCCCAGTGACAAGCAAAGGTACAAATTGGTGCTCTTTTTTTCTGACAGTGCAGAGATGATGATAGCTAAGCCAAAAGAGCCCCAAATATGTGCTGTGGCACTAAACCCGAGGTCTGTGAAAGTAGCAACAATAACAACAACAATTACGATAGTAATAATACAGCACAATGCATTCTTCAGTCAGCCTGATTTTATAGCAGCTGACATTTGCATGGTTTTTTCCAGCCAGAATTACTGTTGCATATATTACATTTAGACTATTAAGCCAAAATTGCCAATTTACACACTATTAGGAAAAAGAGTAGCAATTTGTACCTTTCCTTGTCACTGGGGCTGTACCATAAAGCTTGAAGGGTCTGATTATTCTACCCTTAGCTGTAGGTAAATGTACATTTTAAGGTACAGAAATCGAGTCTGAGGAACATCCCCAAGGTAGAAAGAACATCAATGTACCTCCAATAGAACAAAAAATGCTCCCCATAATCCATTTCTTTACTTGAAAACGTACATTTACTCTTGAGGGTATAAGCAAAGATTCAGATTGCTACTCTTTTTCTCTGAGAGTGTGCAAAGTAATATATCCCCCACAAGTTTACGTTCACATTCAAATTATATTATCTGGTCATATATGTGTCTATAACACAAGGGATGCATTACCTGACAGCTGTAATCAGCAGTCTATCCGACAAAAAACGATACTTTCCCCGCAGACATCAGCTTTTGCTTAAGCGCTGCGCGTGCCCGCTTGGTGAGGTGCGCGCAGAACTCGGCGCGACGACTGATCGGTATATACAGTCCTCGCGACCTGGGATTCTTTCTGAAGTCTCTCTCACATTTCAACAAAATAAAAATAGTCTAAAAATGGTCATTTGATGGTTTATTGCATTATTTTTCTTGATAATTATTTTAAATTATATCCCACGTAGTCATTGTGTGAGAGATGTAAACAGCAGAGGCATTGCGACGTTTTAAATATTCTCATTTCTGAAGGCACGACATACTTCGATGGCGTTTTTGTAATGATGAGCGACTGAGTGATTCTCTATTTCCTCGCTTTTCGTAGATCAACCTATTTTCAAGCCATACTTTGGGAATTTGCCATGTAGAGCGCGTTCAGCTCAGCTCTGCACAGGGCTTCGTGTCACCATGTTTGCTGTCCTCTCAAGGGGACCCGCAGGTTTGCCACCCTGCGGTTTAATGTCGTTCTTTTTGCTCTTCGCTCTGCTCCCAGCCTTCTTCTCGGTGCTGCCTCTTATCCCGGGGTGACGGCAGTGAGAAAAAGTCGCCCTTATTTTTTGCTTTTGTCTGGGTTAAAGTCGCACTGGGACTGAGTGTCGTGGAATAAAGTCACCTTATAAGACTGCGGAGCCTGACCGAGAGGCATCGCGGCTTATTCAATAAAAGAACCAGACCTAGAGTTTTACTTCGAACAAAAGCCAGGCTCTTCTTTATATGGTGGAGTTGAAACCAGTATAGCCACTGGTTACATGTGCCTTTTTATCGCAAAAATATCAAAGACGTGGCCAGTGTAAGTGGAGGTATGTTCAGCTTATCTGATTTTCACTTTGCCTCGGTAGCTTTCGTACAGTTATTCCCTATTTTCGGCTCCACGTCCCGTGTCAGGTCACATGAGTTCACGGGCAGTTTGTTTGTGAAACTGTCTGCCCCGTGTTACAGCAGTATCGTGTATTTTAAAAGAATGTAACCCTTCGCTAATGGCACCGTATTTTCGTAATTTATCTGCGATTTACTTTTTGTTTTCTTGCTTATTTTTCCCCTTTTAAATCTGTTGTTTTAATCATATTTTAAATTTGATTAATTTTAGGTTAATTTGGATCTTTTTAATCTTGAATTTTTCTTTCTGTTCTGTACTTTTGTAATGTGTAAAGCACTTTAAATGACCGCACTGTGTTGTGGTTTTTCCCTCCTCGCCAATACTGTTTTACGCCAATACAAGTGCTTAGCTAACAGAAACTCTTAGGCTAACACGACGTGCAAATACATACTCAATTGATTGCATTGTGTTGATTACATTATAATGATTACATTGTAATGATTACATCATGGGTATTTGGCATATGCTTTTTAATAATACAGTAATGATTATATTCTTCGTTATATAGTGCTAAATAATATTAAATAACTGTACGAAAGGTGCTTTAAAAATAACTTTTCCTTGTCTTAAAATGAAAGAAGCACGTGGACTGCTGACACGTGCGGTCGCAGAGCAGCCGGCGATGCCTGAGATATGCTTGTGTCTCAATCCGGTTCCACCACCCCCAAAACAAATGTGGTCAAAGGTATCAGCCCCTGCATACATCGCCTCTCACCAGTTTCACGGTGTCTTGTTAGACTTGAAACTGACCGACAGACATGAAGTCTGTGGAGGAGTCTGTCAGCTCCGTCCACTTCAACAGTTTGTCGGACGATTCAAACGTGGTCAGATCTTATGTGAATAAACTAAGACAAAAGGCCGAAAAAGAAGTGGAGCCACAACATGATGTCGATCTGAGGGACTCGTCCTTAATTAAGTTTCTAAGAGCCAGAGATTTTGATATCGATTTGTCGCTTAAGGTTGGTACTACTCGTCTTCTATATCGTCACACTTTAATTGAGTTACGGTGCATTTGAGGTTCAATTAAGACTTTTTGATGCAAAAAGCTAAATTGCCCGCGAATATCTATGAAGTTGTTTTTGACTTAATACATTCGCTGCAGCCAAATTATATTATTTGCAAGTTCACTTTCAGGAACATCTGATTAATCCGATGACAAATTAGTCCATAATCGAATACATTTTTTAAGCTAGAGAGGTGGAGAATCGGCATCGTTATATATAGTTGTTAGTCTGCTATGGTTGGCAATCGGTCTATTTCGTGTTATTTTCTAATAGTAAAATTAGCTAAACGTGCTACATTAAAAGGTAAATATTTTTCACTAGTGTTTTACAAAGGCATGGAGACGGAAAAGCTCCTTATCGCAGTGAATGTGGCAGAATGCCCATTCCTCTTTTCTAAATTACCTTTTAATCGGATGTTATGTATAACTTCAGAGAAGAGGAAATTACACACTTTCTCTCTCACTTACAAACAAGTAGGATTTATTCGATTTTCACACATCCCTTATGTTTCTTTATGGAACATAGACACCGATGATAGTGAAGCTTGGCCACTGATCCAACACCCCTGGATCATTTTTTTAGGCTTACGGGCTTTACTCAAGGGTCCAGCAGTGATACTGTTACTCTGCCATCCCAGGTCATTTGAAACGGGGACCTTCCACACATGAACACTGGTTTGAACCGGTGACCTTCCACACATGGACACTGGTTTGAACCGTTGACCTTCCACACATGGACACTGATTTGAACCGTTGACCTTCCACACATGGACACTGATTTGAACCGTTGACCTTCCACACATGGACACTTGATTCCTAACCCACAGAGCTGCATGCCTCCCCTTGTCTGATGGCTTCTTGGCTGTGTGATGATTATGCTGGTGTAATGCCTAAGGTCTGGATAGTTAGAGGTTAGTGCTCTCAGCTCCTGACAAGTGCTACCTTGGTGGCATTTCCTTCCAGCTGTTCCTGAACTACCACAAATGGAGATGCGAGTGTCCAGAGATTACGGGCAACTTATGCCCTACTTCAGTCCTGGGCCTGCTCCAGAACCAGTACCACGGTGTGCTGAGCTCCAGGGACACCAGCGGGAGTAGGGTTCTGATCTACCGGATTGGTTTGTGAGCCTCCTGTGTCATAGACGAAGACTGTGTGTGTGCACTCTCTCTCTCTCTGTCACTCTCACCACACACACACACCACACACACACACACACGTGATTTTCATATTTTTGTAGGAACTGTCTATTCATTTATATGGGCAAAACTCTAATCCCAATGCCGACCTTAACCCCTAAGAAGCCCTAACCTTCACCATAAGTAACCAAACAAAATAAGACTTCTGACATTTTTAGTTTATTGACTGCAATCACAGATTTTTATAAAACTGAATTTCCCTTTGTGGGAACTAAAAAAATGGTTCCCACAACATCAAGCAGGTTTTTACCACATTGTGGGACATTTGGTAATGTAATACATATATGCCCCCCCCCCACACACATAATATTTGGTGCTGATATCTGTCATTCGAGTCCCCATAAAACAGTGCGATATGCAGGATCGGCTTTCAGCAGCAGGACTGTTTGCTCCTGATCCTTGATTCTTCCTCAGAAACTTTAAAAAAGCTTCTCTGCTTCCCGATGTTCCGCTTTTCCAGGTAAGTGGAACCCGAAGGACTTCAGTGCCTATGAAGTGTTCCGTGTCAGCCTCATCACGTCCGAGCTGATCGTCCGTGAGACTGACACGCAGCGGAATGGGCTGAAGGCCATCTTCGACCTGCAGGGCTGGTGTTTTGCTCATGCCCTGCAAATTAACCCCTCGTTAGCCAAGAAGATCTCAGCGGTGCTTACGGTAGGCATTGCGATCAGCACCTTCGGTTAGTTAGTGGGCAATAGCTAGGTTAGGGGTGGACAAACGGAATTTGTAATTGGAAGGTTTCTGTTTTGGGTCAAATGTGGGAATCGCTGTGAGGATCCACTGCATAAATGTATAATACTGTCAGCTCATTTTTCTGGAGCAGTATGCAGATAATTAGTTAGAGATCTGTTCTTGTGTCTGGAAGGTTATGGGTTCAGATCCCTTGGTTGTCAGACTAATCGTATCACCAGTGGGCTCTGGAGCAGGGCCTTCATCCACAACTGCTCTGGGGCACTGAATCATGGTGGAACCTGCTCTCCGACCCCAATTTGTACATTTTATTGGACAATAATATTTGCTACAAGGGTGTAGGTTCGGGTGTAGGTGGGGACATGTCCCTGCCAAAATTGTAGGAGGACCGAATTGTCTCTACCAATATGTCTTAGCGATCTCCCCACTTTTTCACACGAGGATCCTCCGAGTAGCAAAAGCAAAACCTTTCCTGCTGACATTTGTTGTGCGAAATCCAGGGTGTAAATCCAGGGTGTAAATCCAGGGTGTCTCACTGTTGTTTTATTTCCTTCTTCTTCTGCACTCACCAGCTCATTGTTGTCCTATGCAAAGTTTGTACGAGGTCGTGACGTCCGGGAGCCACTGGGAGTGTGCAGCCACTGGAGTTTTTCATGTGGCACTGTTTCAGTGGATAATCTTTTGTGATAGCACAGTGTGCTAAGCACACGGTGACAAGCGAACTTTGTTCACTTCAACATTAAACATTCACTTCACTGGAAACAAATTATATCACTAATGTGATGTGATTTTATGTAAAATTCCGAGGGGTTTCTTTTGTCTTTTTCCAAATTTTTTTTTGTTGCATCTTTAATTCTTGCACTTTGACTTTGAAATTGTTGTTATTGTCCATTTTTGTAATATATTTAGTTTGAAAACCTTTATTTTTTTGTTTTGGCGTCTACCACATTGTTATTTTGATAGGGTTGTCATTTTGGTGTTACATTCAGTTAATATATTTCAATATTCAATATTTGAATATTGTATTATAATACAATACTATTATTGTATTATAATAGTATTTTGAAGTGTGTGTGTGTTTAGGGGGTGGGGGCAGGGGACTGATCTTCTCGCTAGCAATGTTGAAACCAAGCCTACACCCTTGGTCTGCTAAATAAACAGATGTACTTTGGATGAGATCTGATCTCCTACAGTCACTATGTCAGCCTTAAATGTAAGTTTTACATTTGCAGAGGCTAACGGGATGTTAGCATTGGGTGATGTCATATGGGGGTACCCCTGCTCACATTCACCTTCACATTGCTTGCTGATTATCTGTCTCTCCTTCCCAGGACTCCTTCCCTCTGAAGGTGCGCGGCATCCACCTCATCAACGAGCCCATTTTCTTCCGGCCAGTCTTCACCATGCTCAAGCCTTTCCTGCCTGACAAGATCAAGCAGCGGGTCAGTTTGTCCTAGCGGTCAAACCAATAGGTGCCATAGGTGCTCATGGGAGTTTCAGTTACACAAAAATATTCTCAGAGCAGAAGGAAAAATGATTGGTTCAGAGAGAGAACCAATCAGATTGTAGAGGAGGCGGGACTAACCAATCAGATGTCTCGGTCCCACCTCCTGTTTTGCTTGGACCCACCTCCTCCACAATTTGATTGGTTATCTCTCTGAACCAATCATTTTTGTGTAAGTAAAACTCCCATGAACTACAGAGGGAGCCGCCAGGAGCCCAGTCTTCTGAGTAGGTGCTTACTTAGTGTTGGTGGGAGGGGGGGCACCCGCAGTGAAGCTAGCCTAGGGTGCCACATGGGCCCCCACTGGTTATTTTAGGCATTTTCTATAAGAATCATCCAGCTTTTAACTGTATCAGTAATATCAGGTCTCTAATTCCGGCTGCCCAGTGATACGAAAGTCAAAGTCGTGTGTCTCCACAGATCCACATGCACGGTGGCTCCTTCGCACGCAGCCTGAGTCAGCACTTCCCTGCGGACATCCTGCCCCCCGAGTATGGAGGCAGGGGGCAGGACCTGGACGGGGTGTGCGCCGAGTGGACGCAGTTCATCCTGAGTTCTGAGGACCAGCTCCGGCAACTTTCCCTGGGCGGTGCTGCCAGAGACGGCGACCAGGCGGGCAGCTTGCTTCATCTCCCCAGGGAAGGCAGCAGGCCAGTGGGCTTGAGCAACAGTAGCAGGTAGCTTCTCCCCAGACCACACCCCCAGGACATCCCCACCAATGAGGGAACACCAGCAGCAGGTAGCTCCTCCCCAGACCACACCCCCAGGACATCCCCACCAATGAGGGAACACCAGCAGCA